ATTCAATTGTTTACACATGAGAAGATGTCAGAAGTGCATCCCACAATGCAGTGCAGTCTTTGTAGTTCAAACATCATTTGAAACTTGGTTTCAGATTTAAGGTTGCAGGTTCTTCCTGACAGTTCACTCTGCATCTTTTACTGAAGTGAAAATCTAAAAGCTCCATTCATCACCTACTCAGCTGACACTTCGTGCAACTGTCTGACAGTGTGGTGTACAGTGACTGTACAGTTAAGACTGATGCGTAAATGTACAAAATGAGTGCACATGCTGAGGGGAAGTTAGGTGTGACTGTCTGACAGAGTGAGAGATGTGCACAAAGGTTTAGAAGTATGAAATGGCAGCTACTGCTGTGGGATTTAATAAGAGCCTCATTAATATGTTAAACACATCTCTCACACACACACACACACACACACACACACACACACACACACACACACTCTCTCACACACACACTGGTGAGCCCACGCACTGAAGAGCGCAGTAGGACACCTCTCCCTCTCTCTAACAAAGACTGGCTCTACACAGTGGTCATGTGACAGTTGTTCCCATTGTTCACTTCTGGCCAGGGGTGGTTTTCCTAATGTGTGTGTGTGTGTGTGCATGCGCATGAGTATTTGCGTGCATGTTAAAGCAGGAAGACACTTTAAGCCAGCCAGAGGAAATCCCTCATTCCCAAGCATGTTGATGTTTGCGCTCGTCCTCCCGGTTGTGTGTATGCTCGTGTGTAATGACAGACCACCTCTGCAGCATCTGAAGCTTAATGTTAAAACCCTACTTTATTTTTGAAGCATTTTATCGAGTGTGTTTTTTAATCTAGACGCTCGGTTTGTGTTTTGTAAACCATCTGTCCATGGTACCAAAGGACTAAAAGAGATTCGCGGAACTCTCTTAAAGACTCCTGATGTTCCCCAAAAAGGCCAATATTTTAAAACCACTACTTGAGTGGATTAGCCAAAGAGCTCTCTGCCTCCTGGCTGATGTGTTGGGTTGGCTGGAGAGATGCTGAGAGAGCTCACCATCAAAACATTTGACTAAATTGAATTGAACCGATTGCAAAAGTAGTGTCCTTCAGATGGAAATGGCTCAAGAGATACTCTGTGAAAAGGAGGAAGGCATATTTGTTTTATTGATAGTAATTCTTTATAATGAACTGCTGTCCTCTAAATGTTTATACTGCCATTTCCTCTTCCCGTTAATCTACACGTCCCCCCCCCCCCCCCCCCTCCAAGGTCTTGTGCACAAATGTTATTGTTCCAAACCCAAGGCCTTCACTAGTGTTGGTGACAAACCAAATCTCACTTGAGGATGTTTTGTCTGTTACATGGCTAAAGAATAAAACTTTTTATTGGCTGGCAGACCTTTATGAACATGTGAAACTGTGTGAATTTCCCCTTTAACCATTTATTTTGGAATTGTCTAGCTACCCAATCTTACTGGGTTGAGGTAATAACAAAAATGTAACTTGTACTCAGCTTTGGGCTACCAGATGTTTAGGTAAGATAGCATAAATACCTTCTTAAAATATTCCTCATAACCAGTTTAAATACAATAACAATGTGACAGTTGAATAAGGATCCACCAATTGCAGGGGAATGATTGGGCATTTTGAAGGATATTTATTAAATGAACCTGAGGAATAAAAACGGAAACTTTATTAAATTATGACTGTTTTTCCTCTTTGTAACTGTCTACATTGCCCTGTTAGTATATGAACATGAGTACATTTGTAAACATGAAATATGTAAACATAGTTATTTCTTGTTGTTTCTGAAGGTAAGACTGCATCAAGTTTCTGATATGTTGATTTTTCTTACTTAGTTTTGATTGAAAAAATAATAATAAATTTATAAGCAAAAACTTTTTTTTCCCTCCAGCTCTTAGAATGAATAATTTATCATTATCTAGAAATGTTCATTCCTGTGTGTTTGTACGAAAGCACATTATTTAAAACAAACAGTTTTTCTGTAAAACAACAAGCGAAAATTGATACCAGTTGAAATGTGGGTCAAAATTGTAGAAATAATGACTCAGCATTCTTGATATTTTTTTTGTTGATACCCCTATCTTTTCTGCCGTATACTGATTATATTGTCACTTGTGCTTCTGAGGGATTATGTTATGAGCGCTAGTATTAACCGTTACGATACTGATTTTAAGAAGTTTTTACGTTACTTAACGTGCACACACCTTGATGCATGTACATGAAAAAAAGGCACTAGCAAGTGTCACTCAAACCTAATGTGAAGTTAAAACTTGCTGGTATAAAACACAAATTCTTTGGCATGGATGTCTTTTCAAATCTGTCTGACCCACTATAGCGTATACTGTCCATACATAGGAAATAATAGACTTGGTATAGGAAGCACTTGCACTCATTTGCAGAGTTATAACTACTGGTTGAACAGCTGTGGAGAAGAGAGGGTGAACCAGGGACAAAGATAAAAGTGGTGGGGAACTAGACGAGTCCATTATTATAAGAGGTAAAAGGATAAAGAAAAGGGAGAAGGACAAGTCTGGGAGCTGCCATGATGGACAGGCAGGGAGGAAGGGAGGGAGGGAGGGGGGGCATGTCTGTGTGGAGGAGGGCGTGAGACTACAAGAGAAAGGGGGAAGATGGATGAGTAGGGACCAGTGAGAGAAGAGTGAAATAATGCAGAAAAAAATAAATGGTTGGAAAAGAGTAGGCAAATGTACAGGACAAGAGTGTAGCTGTAGCTCTCAGAATCAATTGTTTATGTATTAGTTAAACGGACCCAGTATACGGGAGTAAGTGCTAAATGTTTGTGTTTTCAATCAGTGAGAGTCAGTCAATTCTCTTCTGCAGGAGAGTGTGTGTCTGTGTCTGGCAGATGGTCAGGGCCACACACACACAAATACACATACAGCTGACCGTCCCCAAGGGTCGTATAATAGCTTCTCCTGTTGTAGTCGCTCTACCCTTCAGAGGAATCCACTCTCTCTGACCCGGCATGCCTTAGAAGGACTTTTACTGTGTACACTGAAGAGTCCTGAACCAGCCAGCTGTTCCTTTCTCTAAACCATTATTTGCATTTTTATTGATATTCATGATTACAAGCTGGTGGCTCAGTGACCCCCTGCTGGAGTTAAGTTTTAGCATTTAGTTCCAGTTTAAGGCGGTCCTGGTTTATTTATAGGAGTGACCAAACTCCAAGAACCTACTGAAAGGTTGTGTCCTCTCGTTTGTAGCCTTCTCCTTTGAGCTGGTGTTAACTCTAGCGTTTGCCATTTAACGTGACAGCAAACAACAGCCGTAGATGAGAAACTATGCGAGTATTTTTGCCAAAAGACCAAAAAAGTGCTACTAAACACAAATCTTGGAGACATCACACAGGGTATCAATCATCTCAGTCATTGAGCATACTTTAGCGCAGCCCTGGAAGCGGGGAAATTGACTTCTGTGGCTGTAATGCTGCTCCAACAAGTGCTCCAATTTATGCTTTCACATATTTTTAAGCGCTAGTTCTGTTCGCATTGGCAGAAGTCTAAACAAAAATGCTACAAAGACATTTTATCATTTCGGCTTGCTATCAAAGTATTAAATGTAAGACAGTTTGCTGCTAGGAGGCACGTTTCTGTACTGTACACATGGTCTGAAATGATGTCCGTCTGAGCTGTTAGTTTTTGTTGTTTGTTGCGGATCATCTTTTTTGTTATTATCATGCACATGTAAAAGTGGTCCAGCAGCATTTTTCTGCAGTTACTGCAGGTCAGTTGAACACCGGTCAGTTTGATTATGTTCCTTCAGCTTGTGTTCTCTGATCATAATCAGGCTGTTTAACAATAGCAAACACGGGCTCAGTTGTTCAGATCAGATTCTTAGGTTTGAGATTAGAGAGCGGGTCAGTTGAATCCAGTCTGCTACCGTGTTATTTTAGTTTGTACAGTATGACTAACTGCTGTGCTGTGAGTGATTCAGAGCGGATAAAGCTGTGCTGTTCACTCATCGTCACACAGCAGGGGAATTTCTCTGTCCTGTGTTTTAGTTCCCTGTCATCCTATCGGTCATGTTCATCATGCTGTATTTATAACTGTGTCTGTCTGTTCATTACACAAGATCTAGCTAATGGGCAAGAATAAAGTTGGGTGCAGTGCTGCTCTCTTTTCTTTTTTTCTGTTTTCCCTTTTTTTAAGTATCTGGTGTATGAATCAGTTTTTAAGGAGATTACTGGAATACAAAGTATTTTGAAAATGTCCTAGTGTTATACTGATACTGACACTCAGAGGTTGTTGCTAAAAATATCACATAACACTGAGGCACACAGGGTCAGACCTCTATTCTGTTCTCATATCCACTAACAGAGGGCTGAAGTCAGCCTTCAGTCTGGTGTGGGAGAAAAGAAAACGTGGCTCCGATCCAACTATTGTATAAAAATTGGCTCAGGCGAAATTCTCAAACACATCTACTTTACTTTAATCTTCCCCTCTTCAGTGGAAGTATTAAATTGTTATCCATTTGCTAACTTATGTGGATTTTATTGGCTTCGTTTTCAGACACAGTGTAGCTACAGATTTTGTTTCGGAGTGTGCACATGAAATTTTTTGTTTTTAAAAAAGGGGGGGAAAATCCATTAAATAGAGATGGGGTGTTATTCAGAGGTCAGGTTAACTTGCTGCATCTACTAAACATTAGCGAAAAGTGCTAGTAAGTATTTCTGTATGTATGAACACTTGAAAGAGAGTGAGAATGATGGCTTTGTGTCTGCATTAAAGAGAGACAACTACTGAATACTGGCTGTGTGCGCCATTTCATCTCAGTCAGTGCTTCATGCCAGCCATTGTTACACAAATGTATAGCTGAGATTACTGTTCGTTATAACACACCTGAAGACAGCTAATTTGTTTGATTCATTCACTTAGTTTCCTTTATATTTGCAGGAACTCAGTAAAGTTCTTAATCTTTATTAAGTAATCCAAAGTCATGGTGTATGTCATTACTGTTTAACAGTAAATGTCTGTATGTGTTTTGTTTCCAGAGTTGAGGATGATGGCAGAGGGGCGTTTTGCTAGTCTGCCTAGGTCTCTTCAAGCACACCACACCCTGGGAGGAGGCACAGGCCACTCTGGAGTACCCAGCAGCCCTCTTGGTGCCCCAAGCAATAATACCTGCTCCTCCAGGAGGCACCAGGCCTCTCTCACATCCTCCATGGATCTTCTCAGCTCCAGACCTGGGTAAGCTGTGTAACCATCATAAGCTCACTGCTGTTGAGTCATTTATTAGAAATCAGCAACAGTAACATTTCCCAGTGTGAGTAACTGTTTGCTTTTTGTCCTGCAGTCTCCATCCAGGCCAGTGTGGCAGCCTATCAGAAAAGCCAGCTGCCGCCTACCAGCCAATCTCTATTCATGGGACTCTGCCTCGGCGCAAAAGAGGAGGGGTCAACCTCACACATGGAAACTACACCTGGGACCCCAAAGCCAATCACACAGAGCCTTTAATTTATGAGAATGCATTACTGACTGCTGAGTACCCGCATCAGTCCATGACCTCTTCACTGGTCCAAAATATCGCTGATGACTTCCATGGTTACAGGTAAACATGTTCACAAACACAGACAAACATGGATAATGCTTCTGGATGTTTATAATTTCATTTTCATTCTGCGGTTTGTTCTTGCACATTCTGGGCAAATGATAGTCTTCATCACAAGTACGACTGTTGCTTATCTTTATATCTGTCAGATGTTTGTGTAGGGAAACCATCTTTCAGAAGAAGCACCTTTTGTTCAGTACTATCATGATAAAAGGTGATTGTTGCAGGGGTGTCTTGTCATTCTGAAGGTTGGCACTGTTTGATGATCAGAGACTGTTAGTGCTCTCGAGAAAACACTGCTCCTCTTCAGACTGGAGAGTGAGACAGTGTGGAGTTGGATGGAGAAAAGTGAGGTTGTATAGAGACCCCTGAGGGGGTGTAGTGATTAGCTCAACTTCAGAGGGAGCACACACACACACAAACCCACACACATCTCATCCCTCATCATGTCCTCCACCTTTCTATCTCTAGTGTAGAGTTACAACAGACTGTATCTGATGTAGCCAGCTTTGTGTGTGCATGTGATGTGCGTCTGTGGGCGCATTCGTGTAGCCCCCAGCAGTTGGGTTACCTTTGTTGGTCAGGGTGTGGCGTGGCAGATCAGAGACTACTGTGAAGTCTTTGTCTCTACTTTTTATCTGTCTGCCTCCATGCCGGATAGATTTCATAGACCGCTGACATACAGTGGGACAATTTGTCCAGGTCAAATTCAGCCTGTACAGGTGGCAAAATAATGAGTAGCATATTGTTCTTTTTTTTGTGTTCTTTCACAACGTTAGTACAACTTCATGGGTATTTTCTTGTTCTTTTAAACAGCTAGCACAGAAAGTGCCAGTTTTTACACCTTTCATGCATAAATGAGCCTTTTGACTGATTAAAGTTCATGAAAATTCAGCCATTACCTGATGATAAAGTTCATCAAGAAAGCATATTTCTAAAGT